GAAGTCTCTGTGACCAAAGTGGTGAACATCATAAGGAAGCACTGCATGCTCTTCGGTTCATTGCTCATAGAAACCCGACTAGCACCGTGGTCACACAGGTACCCGCGCCTAATTAAGCTAGCACTCTCCGATGAGCATGACGGAGAATTGCTGGCAAACCAGTGCCAGCACCTTGCGCGAAATACCCCTTACGTAACGCTTCGCTTCAGCCGCTACATGGACAGAGACTGTGCGCACCGGAAAATGTAGACATTCCTGTTACCATTAAACTGGGTACTCCACAAGCTAACCGTACGCTAGGCTTGCTTATGGACACTCCTCCAACTACTTCCACAAAGCATTTTTCTTGCAAACAGTGGTCACTCAGCCGTCATTACCTACCCCACAAAGTCAGCTGAGCGTACTCCATTAACTGCTGTTGATGGTCCAGGGCCACCAGACTACCCCACAAGTCGTCGCGACACCGTGGACGAGCTATTCCGCCCCATTTCCTCCCTATTTAGCGAAATTGTAAACACATCACCTAATAGGCATAACGTTGTCATCCTTCTTCTTAATGCCCATTCGCGTTTGCATAAAATGTATACTCTCAGTAAAATCAACTCCGTCCTCCCCTCGCACTTTATTCTGACCACTGAGACATGGTTAAATGTGACTACACCGGCTACCTCTTATCAGCACCTACGGCAGCTTTCAAGCCACAAGCCACGGTGGTGGATGCCTTATCTACGCTAAGGACAACATCAATGCATGCTTGCTCACAGACTCCTGCTTCGGCACTAAGGTAGACTGTCTCTTTGTTACCGTCTGCATTAATCAAATTGATTTTATCATCGGCTGCGTCTACAACCCACCGAATGACAATACTGCCGCTCTGAACAACTTACTTAATACTTTGCTGCAAGTTTCTGAACCTCCTACAAACTGCAAACTTATTGGTGGAGACTTCAATATGCCAAATGTCTCATGGAACACTCCCACCAAAACCGCAAGACACAGCAGATTCGCTTCGTCCATTCATTCCTATGGATGGACCCAACATGTGCGGTCACCAACTCGGGAAGATCACATTCTTGATCTCCTTTGCACGCAGGGTGTTCCGGACACACCGGCTGAAGTACTTGGCAATTTCCCGGGCAGTGATTATAAACTGGTCATGCTCTCATTTAATCCGCCAGCATCAAATTCTGTTCGCCCAGACAACTCCCCTACCTGGTATCATGAATGTGCTTACGCTGATTGGGAACAATTCGCGTCCCTAATAAGGTCATCTCTTTGGGACAACTTCTTCCTAACATCTGACCCCCAAATTGCTGCTGATGAGTTTTACAGAAACATCAAAGCCTGTCTTAATATGGTCTGTCCACTCAAACGCAGGTGCACTACCATTTGAAGCAAAGGAGACTGCCATCCGCCCGAAACTGCGCAGAAGCTTAAGACCTTGCGCAAAAGGTATAGCACAACAAACGACTTCACGCTAGCTCTGCAACAGCAACAGGTTTTGTCTAAATACTACTCTCATCGCTACTCAAGGCAAGTATCAGAGGAGAGGCATGCGATCTCTATCACAAACAAAATCTAAAAGCTGTTTGGGCTGATGAAGCGCCGAAACCCTGAGACAGATGAAAGTGCCTTCATCACACTCCGCAATGGTTCGGTTACTCATGACTCCGCCTCAATTGCCGAGGTTCTGGATAGTCACTTTAGCTTATCCTTCAAGTCAACCAGCAACTTTCGCACGCCTCACTCGCCCACCCTAACCTCTGCACAGCTATCTGCCGTTGACTTTTCACCCCGTGATATAGGAAAGCAATTAGCGACTGTTAAGCAGTCAAACTATGAACGTCCCGATAGCCTCCCCTCTATTGTACTAAAGCTTGGTAGCCCAGATATCACACTTCTCCTGCTTAAACTGTCCTATCGATGAGAGCTGGGAAAGTACCTATACAGTGGCAAACAGTTGTGGTTATACCACGTCATAAAGGAGGGCTCAGAAATGACATCGGGAACTACCGGCCCATTAGCCACACCACTAGCATCTGCAGAATGACGGAGAGACTAATTGCCCCAAAAGTAGTGAACTTCCTACGGGCACATGACCTTATCAATGACTCTCAACATGGATTCCTGAAAGCACGTTCCTGTGTGACTTGCCACTTGGCTTTCCTTAACAATCTTACCTTGTCCCTAAATCGAGGGATATCAGCAGTGGTCATTTATTCTGATATGCAGAAGGCATTCGACCGAGTACCGCACGAGAAGTTGATGGATAAGCTCGCTTCATTTGAAATAGGCGGCCAGCTACTAGCATGGCGCAGGTCGTACCTCTCGAACTGAACCCAAGTGGTTAGTGTTAGTGGTCAAATTTCCACGACTAGACCAGTGCTGAGTGGTGTAGTTCAGGGCAGTGTCATCGGCGCGTTACTCTTCTTGTTGTACATAAATGATATATTCGAAGTTATATGCCTTGGTATCCCATACCTCTTTGCAGACGACATTAAAATAGTATACACTTTCGATCGTACAGATACGAGCTCTATCATGCACACAATTGCAACCGATCTGAAGGCATTGGAACTATGGTGCACCCATTGGGACATGTCGTTTTCACCGGAGAAGTGTACTGCCCTTCTGTTTCGCTGCACAATAGCCCAAGGGACCCTTACTCTTTGTGGAAAGCCGCTAACCTGCAGCAATACCATAAAAGACTTAGGCCTGCACTACTCTGGCTCGTTAAATTTTGCAGAGCACACCACAAGTGCGGTAGCGAAAGCCCGCCGTCGCATAGGCCTACTATTCAAAACACTTACGACGCGGGAAGCGATAGTTCCTCTATACACACTAACAACGCGCCACTGCTTGACTATTGTGCGCTGATCAACAGCAGCGCAAGGAAAAGCGATTGTCAGCAACTGGAAATGCTGCAAAGGTGATTTACTAAGCACCTACTGGGCCCAACTTCGCAACTGTCATACGCAAACGTAGCAAGGCCTTGCGCCTCGACCCGGTATGGCTGAGAAGAATAAAACTTAACCTCCTTCTCCTATTCGATATAATACATAAACGAGTCCACGCTCCTAATTTAGATGTGGAGTTCAAGAAATGTCTGACATACGTTACTCGAAACAGCGATAACGTACTAAGACTCGAAAGACCTAGAACCCAAGCCCACCTGTGGAACCGGTTACCAGTAAAGCTGCGAGAGTGCAAGTTACCCGAAGTATTCCGTAAAGAGATATTTACCTTACCGTTAAAAATACCATTGGCCTCCTGGGACAAACCATGTCGGAAGAAATGGCATACGAAAACGGACTGGCGGGTTACTAACGCATTGACCCCAACCCCAGATATCCTCACTGTATTGGTGTCTGCTCGACAGCAGGACAGCCCTATGCCATTGATCCCATATCACTTCCGATCCTGCGACATTCGCGATAAACCGCAATTTCATAAACTACCATCACCCTTATGGTCCAACATCACCAACAAAGCCAAGGCGCAAACGGAGCCGTAGAATAGGTGACCAGATGCAGATAGGCGGCTGCCATCCTTGCCAAACCACTTCTCTCTCTCCTACTCTAAACCTGTACACATGGCCGCCGCAAGCCATCGTTACTCCAGTCTTCTTACAGTCCCCGTAGCCCGTCTTTTGAATCTCCTAAACTCCAGTCTTGGCCCTCTTTATTCGATACTTACTTTTATTTCTCTGATTCATCACAAAAGCCGAAACACCAACAGCAATACAGCATAAGTGACCTCGTGTATATGGGTGGCTCCACATCTTAACGAATCTTTCCTATTCTCCTACTTTTAATTTGATTGGAGGGCTGGCATGTGGCTGTGGTTAAATAGACACATGAACAATTCCTACACAGCTGCCCCATACTTCCTTTAACGCCTGGTATTCTCAGCTTGGCCAATCTATATTTCGTCACCTACACCGCATAGTAGTGTAGTGCCAGCGTGCTTATCAACCTCATGATATTCTGGTGGAGTATAAGAAGATGGGTGGCTCTCTTCGCGTCACGGACCGGGCATCCCCATCCTTCTATTTCACAGGAATTACTGCTCTGAGCTACGATTCAACTTCATTCTTTCCCACAACTCAAATTCTTTTATTACTGTCCACCGAGTTACCCTCCTGTAGAGCCAGGACCATATTCTCACCTCTAGCCCTTCCTGTAACTTGATCTCATTCTTTACCTCTCATACAGGTCGACTCGTACCAATGCTTAAGTAGAATGTTAGATGGATTGTAGACCCGAAGGCCGGGAGTGCATCACGGGTTGGAACTGATCCTATACATTATTCTTAGATCCTAATCTTCAGAGATCACAAGGCTAGCGGCCTACCCTGCCAATCCCATTCGCATTGACAGCCTGAAACCACCCGAACCCCTCGTAGTTATCCATCTCAACACTACTCTTTTATTTGTTTAAGAAATTCGCTTACTTGCCGCATCTCTTAATGAAAGTCGATCCCAAGACGGCATTGTTACCGAGAAACTCCAACTTTCTTCTATGCTTTATCTATTAGTCTCATTTATTCTACTTTATTTTTAACTTATCATTTCCACGCCTATCTATTCATAATCGCAGACAGGTACCAAGTTTCCTCGTAGCTAGTTATTAAACTACGCGTAATTGCGGGAGCTTGCATAGCCCTAGGACCACATTGCAGTTATTACTCCCCTCATTATGCCTAACTTCCTTTGCTTAAATCCGGCTTGCTTGCTTTATTTGCTGGATAAGAAGCGTAGTATCTTAACGGGATAGTCAGCTGTCCACTGGCAACGTGTCCACTTTGTTTTGCAAAATGTCCACTTTGGTTTGCAAAATGTCCAGTTTGGTTTGCAAAATGTCCAATGTGGTTTGCAAAATGTCCAGTTTGGTTTGCAAAATGTCCAGTTTGGTTTGCAAAATGTCCAGTTTGGTTTACAAAATGTCCAGTTTAAAGTGAAAATGGTATAAATAACATAAATAACAACAATAAGACGTGCAGGGTAAATGTGGTTGTTTACTGCCTCAGTGATAGACAAATCCGGAAAACGGATGCTGCCAGCCAGATAATCACGAGAAGAGTCAAACAAATTTATACGCCAGCTAGATATCATGGTAATGATTTGTAGAGGTGAATAGTATGTAGATCAAAACGTTTCTGAGCAGTGAGAGTAACAAAATGAAGAGTTGTGGCAATCGGTAAAACTGATTCCTTCGAAACAGTGTGGCATCGACAAAGACAATACAACGTAAGAGACGCAATTTAAAGTTGACTCGCACTCACTTAAATGAACAAATTTGAGGTGTTTTTGCAAGGTGCCTTTTATAGAAAACGATTTCCCACAGTGTTCACACGTATGGCGTTGCTCTGTAGCAGAGGACGGAAATACATCAGTTAGAGGTGAAATGCACATGGGAAACTGACAAAAAGTAGTGAATGGGGTGTATCCAATTGGCAATACGATAGAAAGTTAATGATGGTCAGCAAATTCGAGGATTCGACGTATAAAACAATGACTTACAGTATTCGAGAATCATGGGAGAGAAAGATGAGATAAAGTTGGCGAAGCGTACCTCGATAATAGCGACTGCGTACTAACATCAGGTATCAAACAAGGTATCCAGTATTCCTGTTCGTCCACGTCATTCAAAGAGCGCAAAGCATGAAGAAATCCAGGGGAGCGACATCAACATTCGGAAGACGACACAATTAGCGTAATCGGACAATTGTGTCCAGTGCAGCCAACTGCAGTCGGCAAGTTTCGTGCCCGGCTGGCCAACCAGTTCCCGTCTCAACACCTGCTTTACATTCCAATTGTCTATTCCAACCGAATCCGTCCTTCGTTAACTTCATGCACCTCCAACTTGTTATGCAGACCTCCGAGTCTTCACCACTAACTGAACAGTAATGCTTATGTTGTCGCCCCATGCAGCCAATAACTCATAGGTTTATCGCGCATAAGCCACTATCGATAACAAGCTCGAATCAGTGCAGGATAGGAAAAGTAGGTGGTTTCTTGTGGACTAGACAGGTAAATCAGTGGGGCATACTAATATTCTTGAGAATACAAATAAGTAACCCTACAAATTGATCGTCCCTTGCGAAGCTTCGACGTGCAAAATAAAACTTCAGGCAGGTCCGGAGAGGAGTGCGCAGTAATCTCATGAGAAGGGAGTTTACACAACCAAGATATTGCACTCACCGGATCCGGATGCTAACAACAGCGTTTACCATGTAAAAAAACACACACCGGTTCTTGTGATTAACCTCTCCATGTGGGTGAGGAAGGTGTGGGTCAGAAACGGAACGCAGAGTTGCATAATACCCTAGAGGTGTGACTCGGTTGATGCCAGGAGAACTACTCGGATGTTTGATAAATGTAGCAAAAACAGAAAGTGGAGTTGATCAGAAAGCCAGTGTTAGTTTACAACAAGAAACCATGCTTTTTGTCGGAAAGATCTATGCCTGCATCCCGAACATTGTGCTTTTGCATCGTGAACAACTGGTTCCCGCCGCCTGTTTCACACAAACTCACAGTGCTTACATTGTCTCAGTAGCTGACGACATACAAACTTCCTGTCACAAGGATGACCACAGTAACACCCGGTTATCTCTGTCTGTTTGACATCTTGGGTTGATAAGATCAGTGCTTAGCATTTACATTTCTGGTCTCGGTTTGATATGTCTAGTGGATGGTTTAATTGAAGTCAACATTTGCCGTAATCTCCATGTTCGAATATAATTTTTCATAGAGTACTGATATCCTAATAAGCTCATCTAGCATCAAATACTTAAATGATCCTTTGAGTAAAACCTCGCTGAATTTGACAAACAAGTAATACAAAGTCCGCAAGAAAACTCTCCCCAGATTTGCAACTGGAAACGCTTCCGTGCCACTGGCCAGAAATTCTACATATCCAATGGAGGAAAACCATAGCGTTTGAGAAGTTGGATTGAAACAAATTTGAAACAGTTAAAGTATTTCAAACAGACTGCACCGTAGAGGTTATTCCACAACACATGTTACGGCCAAAACAATTTTAAGCATAATAAAAACACTAAGAATGGTGAGAATAAAATTTCTGTATAAACGGCATACAATTTCGGTGCAGATCGTTTGCCATCCAAAAAATGATATGGAGCTACAAATTTGTGTGTTATTTCATGACGATGCAGGTCATTTTCTCAACAGTGTCATGGATTCATTCCATCGGCTTCAAGCGCCGAGTTAGCTTGACACACGCATTCCTGCATACCTCAAGCTCATCAAACATAGCGCCGTTCGAATCAAAATCAAGTCCTTTGATATGAAACAGCAAGCAAAACGTCGACCGATACAATGATTAAAGTCGCTGTCCTTCACAGTCAGACTCCCACGAAGCTGAACTTAACTTGGTGGCGGATTTCACAAAGTTTACTACAATACATTATGAATATAAGACATTCCTCCGCACCTTCAAAGTTACGTGATGCGCAAACAATTGTCCGTTTCGAAAGCAACTGATAGAATATTGAAAGTAACTGAGAGAATATCTACTGTAACGGCTTCGGTCTCCGACATTAGGACTTCCAAACTGACTCAAGAGGAATATTCTCATTGACCTTTAGGAAACATTGCACAACAAGATGAAGGATTTGAGTGTCACGTGAACTCGCGTCACCCGTGACCGTGTGCTGATCTTCCTGTGCGAAGACAGACCACTTCTCACGACGACCGATGCTAGGTGGCACTGTACCAGACTCGTATTCGTGGATGGAATGACAAGAATCCTAATCTAGCCGGTCATAGCCTACTGATGAACAGGCACCTTGTCACTATTCATTTCAAGCGTAGCCACAACGAGTATATCAAGCAACAGACAAGACCTGAAATGCAGGAAATGAAAAATAAAGGCACACGTACAGACCAACTGCTGTGATGATGTAGTACATGTCCTGGAAGGTAGTGCTCTCGGTATCCACCTCCAAAGCACGTGGGGGCATTTTCAGATAGGCATAGTAGAAAACCCGCTGGTAATCACATACTGTCTCCAGTTCGCAAATTTCGCAATTCCACCTAACTAATCCAAAACGACTAAACGCTGAATTGAATCATTAGTACCTCTCATGATCCATGCGTCTAAGATCGTAACACCCGTTACAAAATGAGAAAAAAAGATCTTGGTATCTCTCACCGCGAGAATTGAAGCATGCACCGATGATGCATTCTGGTCCACCTGATCATCAAAAATAATAAACAACAAAAGCCCGGACCCGGCAAACTCCGGTATACACTTAATCATGGAAACTCGTGTTCAAGCCCATGTCACTATTCGCACACATCCTCACATACCGTTTCCACCCCACCCCCCCACCGAGAACTACATCAAAGGCACATATCCGTCAGCCTTCTAGGGGAGGTCCTTGAAGTGTATCTGAAAACACTTTTTAAGTAATTTACAACATTGAACTTTACTGTTGTTTTAACCTGCAAAACGTCCATTTGTTTTACTGACGGCAATTCCGTTTCGACAAACTGATTTGGTGCTACACCGTTTCTCGCTCTCGTTGATTCGCTTCCTACTTTTGCAGCCTGCACAATACACGTTGGGTTCAGTTGCCCCCAAGTCCAATGCTCTCACGTATTTGATCCGTCCATTTCGTGTCATTGATTACCGGTGTGTAGTATCCCACGCGCCACCCAACACCTCTAATCATCCAGGTGCCTAAGATAGTGATATTCATTTCAAAGCGAGCAAAGGTTCTTGAAAGCGCCTACAACGAGTACGGAAGCACGCTCGTCCGACAGGTCTGATGTGCACAAGAGGAATGAGGTCCAATATGGAGCAAGGACACATTGAGTTGCATTTATGAATCGTGCAGACATTAAACGGACTGTAAAATTCCAGTGGTGAGCAGCAATCAGGTACACGCAATGCAGCACCCTGGAACGAGCATCATCTGTCAAAGAGGTTGGCTCATGGCACATACCGAGGAAGTATAGGTGAGAAAATCGGACATTTCGTTGATTTCAAAGATTCTCCGAAATATGCAAACGGACAGACCGTCTCCACTGTACGAGCAAAGTAAAAAGGTTACAACCAAACGATGCATTCAACACTTGACTCACTCAAATGAACAGATTGCACGTGGAGCAGGAGGTTAACCTTTCGTGGAAACGTTTTCTCACAGTACATACATGTGTAAGGTCGCTCTTCTGGAACAGAAATCAAGAACTTAGTCTCACAAGGCATAAAAGACAAAAACAACGTTTTTATAGGAAACAGTGGTTTGCGGCGAATACAATCAGAATGACCTCATGCAATTGATCAAACGACGATCGATAAGAGGCGAAGAATAGCACCCTACCTGATTACCAAGTTCCCAATTTGAAATATTCTACCAGACTACATAAAAGAAAATTTGGTAATAAAAATTGGGTGGACTTTGCATATTGTTGCACTGCGATACGTTAGGCCATTTGGCCAAGCCAATTACGAACTCAACATCGAAATTACTTATTCACACAGGTAGGTCTATTTCAGCCCACTGAGCACAATATCTTCCACGATACAGAGCTAACTTATGACGACACAGTGCAGTGTGAACAAAGTATAGGGGAGTCACGGCAAAAATTAGGTAACGTTTCTCTCCGGGACAATTTGATCTAATAAATCAGATTGGAAAATGTCGATTGCTAAAAATGCTAAACACCTGGGGTATTTGATAAATACTAGCAAGTTCAATGTATGTTAGTAAAAGATGCTGCGACACACATTGTGTCACGCAGGCCACATTTGACCGCTTGAAAGTTGCTAAAATGGGCTGCGATGACCAGATGATCATCCATTGACCATCGCTGTGCACGGTCGCAAATGACCCGGATTTCTGCGCTGACCACAACCTTTAGTGAGTGGGGTGTACGGACAACATGTTGGCATGCATCAGATCACATCATGTGCTGGCAGACGATAAGTCGGAAAGCTGGGAGAGATTGGCGCGAATTAAGCAACCGGTAATCATGTGTTTGTTCGTGGGTGGTGAAACAGTCCTCTGCAATCACTAGAAACAGGACGCGTGAAGGTGGAATAATGCAAAATGCTTTCGCAATAGGCCATGTAACAAAGGATCCACTGAAGATCACTTTGTGTATCTGATAATGGTGTAAAGCCTGAAGTCTCCCAAATACGTCGGAATCAGAACCAAGAGAGTCAGGCTGTTGAAACGAGATCTGGATGTCACACTGCAAACTGTTATTACAGAGGGTCAGGGAATCATAAACTTGTAACATGATACAGTGAGTGCATTTCATCAGATTTATGAGAGTAAGTTTCCAGCCACGGATTACAAGAGACTCCCTCAGAGTAAGCCATCATCAGCCAGTTAGATGGTGACGATTCAACAACCATATCTCCCATAAATACCGTAGAGGTGAGCACAGAGAAACCCATGGCAGTTTCAAGCCGGTTTATGATGCTCGAAAGAAGAGCTGCGGTCAGGTTGAAAATATTGTGTACTCCATTAGAACCGTTTGAGGAGTCATCATTACAAAACGCTTGGTGAACGACATGTTAACTTCCTTGTTAAATGCACAAATATCACTCTTGACTCAAAATCTTCTTCAAGCGAAGTGAATTAGCTTAAAATTAACTGGCAACTTATGCCGATCATGAGTAAGTTACGGAGACTAATTAACTTGGTTCATTGGTAAAAGGTGACAGGGGTTAAAGGTCACTAGGTGCTCGTGTACTCCGTGGGTTTCAGCCAAGGTCAAGTGGAGAACAGAAGATGCTGATCAGACGGCAGTTATCGGTATGGTCGGGCAGTCGTAAGTGGTCTGTTGAAAGGAACTTGTTTTCGATAATTAGGAATTTGGTGGAGTGTTGATAGTCCATTCCCAATCCGGACCCAGGCGCCAACGCCTATCAAACTGGTCGGAGTAAGACCACACCAGGCACCAGACAACCCTACTCCATCCATACTATTCATGCAGTTGTTAGTCCTTTTTATTTTCACAGCCTTTGTACTTAGCGTTTGCGAGGCTGATGGCAATCTCTACTTGATAAACTCGATATTTTCGAAGTCAATTTCGCACCGCGCGTCTAGCGCATGCACTGCAGCCGCTGAATCTGAGGGGAGCTCCATACTCGAGCACATTCCTCGGAGATCGTGACATGCGAAAAGCGGTTACGCAGTTCCCACAAAGTTTGGTCCATATACACTTGTGAACATCCTTTACAAGGGATTTTGTAAATGCCGTTAGTTGTTCTATGTAGGGAGGGGAATCGTTCAAGTGCACAAACGTCGACCGTAGAGTTTGATTCTGTAGAAAAATCCCCCGTTATGATCAGAAATCAGGGTAAGCGAACATATGTTTTCGATAATTCATCTTCAGGCTTATGGAATTATATGCAAATCAAAATGTGCAGACGGACATTATAAGTCGTTACTACTGGAGCGAGTTAATTGGATGCTGACAGCGCGGTCTGTTAAGCCACAACAATCGACCGCGTGTGATCTCGTGGGTCAGAGGTCACCGGCCGTTTGGGCCAGGGCAGTCCCAAGCCTTTAGTTAGCTTCTTCTGAACACATAGCTCCGGTTCATGCAGCATGATCGCAATTGCTTCAGCGGCTTCTAGTAGTCGCTTGCGGACGTAGTTCGGGCGGTACTTTGCGGCCTGATAGATAAGCTTGAATGAATCAGTGAACTTTGTGGCGTGCCCTGTCTCGGCTAGGTGCGCAACTGTTGAAGAGTTCGCTGTATTTCCACTTCCAGTTCTAAGCCTGACCGGGTGGTGTTCCTTCATTCTCTCAGATAGACGCCGTGTCGTACGACTAATGTATTCCGCTCCACAGAAGCATGAAAACGAGTAGATGCACACTGAGTTGGTGCGGACAGGCCTCTTACCCCTTGAGTTTAGTCTAACCAGCGGAATGCTAGTGAACTGGATTTGAATCTGCGCTGCTGGATAGGTGCGTCTGAGTGCAAACGAAAGACGACGAGATAGTAGTTCCGTCGCAACCTCGCCCTTGTATGACAGCTGTAGGAAGATTGGCTTACGTTCTACTCTCAAAACTACAGGCTTTTTCTTCTTCTGTTCCATGTTGGCTTTGATGAAGCTTTCCGGATACCCGTTCTCCCTTAGCACTAAGCGAATGCACTCTAATTCTTCCGTAAGCGTGTCACTCGAGCAGATACGTTCAGCTCGGCTCACTAGGGTATTTATCAAGTTCCGTTTAAACATGTGGCACTAATCTTCTCCTTGTTTACTACCCTACGAATCACTTCCGAAGTTCTCCCTTTGTACGTAGTACGCACTATCGTTATCCACTCTGTGGTTGGTTCTGGGCGTGGGTTGACGCATTTCTGCAGCCGGCGTTTCACCCAATACCCTATGATATTCCCTAGGTATTACGATTTGCATTGCCTCCTGGGCTGCATTCGATCTTCTTCCTCCTTGCATGGAGTACTTGTCCTGTGAAACAGATGAGGAGATTCCCGCATAAATATGCTTCAAGTGGTCTAAACTCTAGCTAAGTACTCCAACTGCGTCTATCCGATTACGATACATTATCGTTCCATCATGCCAATCGACCAGAAAATAAAGGAACGGTGATGCACCGATCTGCGAGTAGTGTTACACAGTGAATTTTATGGCATCGTCATTGGAGTTCAAATAATTTAAGTATTCGTAGTTGCTATCCTTTTTTGTTACTTCAAAAGTGATATTCTCGTAGCGCCACCATACTCCCCGTGCCCCATGAAAATTTGGCAATACCTTCTTCTCCAAGTCTTCCATGTCCGGAGCTGGGAGCGGCTGCACTCAGGTGCTGATGTACCACGGTACCCTGATTTGCTAAGTGGCCAATGGCGCAAAGTGCTTTGCCAGCATGAGTGAGATGGATCAGAGAGGCGCGACATGTTTGTCTACGATCGCACGGCTCACCGAGCCGTTCGGTTGTGAGAAGTGCACGTAGGCAAACACCGCAGCCGCAATCGACCTAACATGCGTGGATTGTAGGGCAAGATCAAGGAAACGCATGCCGCTCGGCTGTGAGAATTGAACGTTAGCCATACACCACAGCCGCAATGAATGCGTCATGCCTCGACCGCAGGGCAAGACCAACGGAGCGAAGACCGTTCGGCTATGAGGACTGGACGTGAGTCAGATACCACAGCCGCACTGAATGTGCCATGATTTGATCGATCGGTACTCAGCCTTCATGCAGGTGAAAAAGCCAGCAAAAGGGTTCCCTGCGAAGTGGTTAGTGGGTCGCTATGCTAGCAATTGAGAAAAACAGCCTGGCCGCAAATGATGACCGGTCGATGGCTGCAGTATTGCTATCGTCACAAAAGCTGTTATTGCCTCATGACTGGCTTCCAACAAACCCGTAAGTTTTTCTTACACTACTTTCATTGCTAAACGGAAGTATATTGCCGTGAGCACATTGTAAGGTTACACTGTTGCTCGCTTTACCGTTTCGATCGCGTGTGCGTTACAGCTGAAAATCCACCCTTCATGTGTGCATAAAAACGAATTCTCAAAAGATATGCTCATAGTCAGCTGGAAACCATTCAATCTCGACTTCCTGAACTGGAACGATTGCGTGCCCTCTACTCGTCGGTGATCGAGGACCTCAGCCGTGATCACCGCGAATCTTTTCTTCGCTATTTGCAAGAAATATGCGAAAAGACGAAAGAGAGGCGATACATTAAGTTGTTCAAAAGCTTGGAACCTTGCTCACCTGAAACAAAGTTCCCCGCCAATCCCGATAGATATGTGCATAATCTCTCGAGCCAGCAACTGAACCAGGTACATTTAGAAGTATTGGCACTTGGGACAAAATTCTGCCTCTCCCAGCCGAAATGCGGGCAAATTCATTTGGAGACCCAATTTGAGAATTTAATGAACCAGTTAGTTGGTTTAACACCTTCATCTTCACTCGCACTTGACACGTTTAAGACCATGTTAGTACATCTTGCCCATCAGTATCGGAACGTTAAGTCTCAAACATCTGACATCTTAACAAAAAAGCACCGTGACGCAACCAAGGAGCTGTTATCCAACCCAGAACTAATCCCTTCCTGACCAGACAAAGGATCTAGCTGAGTATTGATGAACAAGTCTGGTTACATCTCTAAACGGACAACAATTCTGAACGACACCAACAAATTCCGACGAGACGCAATCCAAAAAGAGACCACTTCGCAAGAAGAAGCAAAAATCATTAACATTTTGAAAGAATTAAGAAAGTCGAAGCACATAGATGATGCACTCTTCTCAAAGCTGACCCCATGCGGCTCACACCCTCCGCGACACTATGATTTGCCAAAAGTGCACAAAACAGACATTCCGATGCGACCAATAGTGGACATGTCTACTTCAGCTTTTCACTCTGTCGCAAAGTGGATAACAGAGTTGCTGGAACCGGTTCGAAAAGAGTTGTAGATTCATACGATCAAAGACACGTTTGGTTTTGTCAACCGAATAGAAAACCTAAACGTGAAGGATAAATTAATGCTTTTGTTTGACGTAGAATCACTTTTCACGAACGTGCCGTTGGTAGAGACTGTGACATTCATTTATGCTTTCATCACTGAGAGAAACATTGATGTTGGAATTCCGGTGAATAAATTAAAAGAATTGATTCTGCGTTGCACCTACAACGTACAATTTCTGTTTGATGGAATCTATTATAGACAGATAGATGGAGTCGAAATGGGTTCTCCCCTAGGCCTACTTTTGGCCGACAACTTCCTTTCAAAGCCTGAACTTGGAGACCTGAACACCCTTATATCTTCATTTGATTTATACTACCGTTACATGGACGACACTTCCATTGTCTGTGACTCTTCCATCGATTACCTAACCCTATTAGATCAGTTTAACAGAGTGCATCCATCATTAAAATTCACCAGTGAAGTTGAGCAAGATGGCCGCTTGGCGTTCTTAGACGTTCTATTGCATCGGCGTGAAAACGGGACTATCAAAAGACGTGTTTTTTGCAAAGCGACGTGGGTAGGTCAATACACCCACTTTCTTAGCTATGTACCGCTGAGATACAAGAGGAATTTAGTCCGTTGCTTATACCTTCGTGCCAGAGCAATCTGCAGTCCAGAGACGCTTGAAAGCGAAATCAAGCTCATCTTTAACACGCTGCAAGAAAATGGATACCCCGTATCATTCATCAAAAAGCATTCCAAACAGCTTGAGGCTGTCAAATGTGTCGCTACAGTTCCCAAAAAGGATGTATTCCTTACAGTCCCCTTTAAAGGTGACGTCGCGTTCGAACTGTTGAATAGAAAAATCCCGACCGCAGTGACCAAGATATTTCCAGCCACCAATCTAAAACTACTTGCCGAAACAAGACCATTGATTCTTCAGCGCTTAAAGGATAAACTCCCGGTTGGGTCCGAATCGTTTGTCTTATACCAGTGCACCTGCACCTGTGGTGCTAGGTATCTTGGACATACGACCAGGTGTTTGTCCAAAAGAATCGCTGAGCATTGTTCTGCGTCACTACGAAAAGGCACGGTAAAATCCATCAACAGTTCCGTATTACAACACTTGGTCGACACTGGACACCAAGTCCAGATAAACCAGCTGTTTCGAGTCGTTTATACTATCCCTAAACGATACCCAAAACAGCTTAAAACATTTAGTGAGCAATTCTGAAGCCATTGCTATTAAAGTTCTAAAACCAGAGCTGTGCAAACAGCGCGCACTGCTACAGGCTCTGAAATTGCCTTGGCATTGAACTTGAACTCCCTTGATCACCTGCCTCCTAATGCGACAATCCGATTGAGCAAATCATTTAGTTTTCATACTGCCGAGTTAATGAGTTGAGTGCTTTCTGTACAGGCCTCTACGGGCTTTATTCTCTCCAAATGTTTTGCTTCATAATTTTACTCGCCTGATGAGAATTATCGAAAAGAATATTCTTCGCGCATTTGCTTACTTCGAATTCTTGAGTTTACGAGACAATTCTCCTAGATTCCAGTGTGCCCAAACGCACTGATAGCAACATTAGACAGCACAAGTTAGTCATAAATGGAACTATTGCCCTCACAGTTAGACAATCGTTAGCGGTACAAATTGATCAGGTCTTCGATGCTGTTTCACATGTACAATGGAGAATAATCATGTATTCATTTCTTTAATTATATTTACATGAAACGTGTGAAATGTCTGTAGATTTCAAGGAATTAGATGTTCGCAACAACAAACAAAGCGGATGGCGTCGAACCGTCATAGATGAAGTAGCAGCATTCGCGGTTGTCCAAAAGGAATGCAGTAACAGCTATCTCAGCATTAAGCAACTTGCACCACATTGCGAAACCATCCACACGCCTCCCGGTCTTACTTTTTCTGGTTTACAATGGATATGGGTGTGTGGGTGAAACTGTGGGTGATGCAGCGCAAGCCACTCATGGTCCGCTTTGTAGGTGCAGGCGTCGTGTGGCTGTCCCCATGGAGGCCACGGTGACAGGTAAATCCCGATACGGATATATATATATATATATATATATATATATATATATATCGTCCAAAGTAAAAAGGTTGAGACCAAACGACGTATTCAACCCTTTACTCACTCAGGTGTACAGACTGTTCATGGACCCGGAGACTGTCCATAGAGCAAAACGTTTTCTCACAGTACTTGCATTTGTGGGGCCGCCTTTCTGGAAAAGAAACCAAGAACTTGACAGTTGCGCAGAGCATAAAAGGATAAGCAACATTTTAGAGAAAAGGTTGTGGGTTGCGATGAATACAATCAAAACGACTTCCTGCAAATGATCAAGTAGTGACGAATAAGAAAAGGATAGCAGACAACCCAGATGACGAATGTCCCGTCTGAAAAATTCTACCAGACTGCATAGCATATAAACCGAGATTACAAAGCCACTAGAAGTTACGTGCTGACATATTGCAATAGGAGAATTCATGCATCAAACAGATTGTGCATTTAACGTTGCTAAGTGCTCATTCATGTGAATGAGTCCAGCTCGGATCAACAAGCTCAACGTTTTCTACGATGCGACGGTTGAGCTAGCTATGATAGTACAATGTTGAGTGCATACAGATCCCAATAAAGTTACGCTGAAATGCAGATAACGTGGGTTATGGTGTCAACTTACCTAATAAATCATGTTCGGCAATGCCAATTCGTAGAACACAAGTCAAGTGAAACGCTGAACCTCTGGTAGCATATGATAACTGCTAGCAAGCTAAACGCACCCCAATAAGAAATAGTGCGGCAAGCTTGCCGGTTTCGTAATACGTGATACGACTGTGCCCAGTCGCCGGGGAATCGGCTTTCTGCTTTGAACACAACCTCAGGATGCTGTCAATAAAGCCCCAACATTCATCAGCGTGAAAACCCGGCAGATGTGAGCCCAAACAAAAAGTAGAAAAAATCTTCCATAGCGCTTTCATTTCCAAACGGATTCCGAATGAATTACAGACAGCTGATGACTAGCTGGTAGCGCATGCACTCAATAGGCAAACCTCATCAGTCTCAAAGAAATGTTGTGGTGTGATTTGATACAGGTTCGCTGTATTCTCTGATGAATGTCAATAGAAAACGGCACAGGTTAGATGTGCAGTGAAAAATATATACACTGAGTTTTCAGTGGTAGCTCAAGAGCCAGAGAGTTACGACATAATCAGTGGCGGAAAGAAACAAATCCCTCAATCAAGGTGGCATCGGTGTCAAGAAAGTAAAGGGTTAAAACCAACTGCTGAATGTTGAATACCATGTCGTGGTATATGAGAACATGCTCCAAATGAGTTTCAAAGTTTGACTACAATGAATTGGATTGTGTGCTTCGTAAGACTACGAGTTACATAAAGTATGATCCAGTTGGGTTGTGGTACATACGAAGATTGTTCAAAAGGATACGGAACTTTTGCTGTAACATCTTTATTGCTTATTGCACAACATTTTAAGCACGTTCTCCCTCAAAGTAATCCCCTTTACTGGCAACACACCGTGTCCAACGGTGTTTCTATGTTTGAATATCCCCCTGGAACGCAATATTTAGGATGGCGAGCAGGTCTCTTGTCGCATTATCCTTAAGCTATTCTATGGTTTGGAAACCACGTCCTTTCAACGTGGTTTTAAGTTTGGGAAACAGGAAAAATCTGCCGGGCTAGGTCCGGAGAATACGGCAGATAAGACACGACGGGAGTATGATGTTTTGCTAGATAGTCGTAGAAAAGAAGCGATAGCTGGACCGGTGCAGTCATGATGCACCTACAAGTTTAGTTTTCCCACAGTTCAGGCCTCTTCCCGCTCACAGGATCCTATAAACAGGTGATACAAATTCCTAATGGACAATGCTTTTGCATTCAAAAAAATACAACAAACATCACCCGATCATGCGTGCTTTTTCGGACGACGGCCCTTTCCAAATCTGTTGCAAAGACTGCACCTTCACTTCAATATCGTAAACATAAACCCAAGTTTAATGGCTGTTATGAGGTTCTTAAGGAGCTTTTCATTGTCAATGGCAGTGGCAAGAAGTTCCAGGCCGAATCAACACGGTTCTGTTTCTGATCGTCAGTCAGCAAACGCGGCTCGAATTTTGCATTGAAACGACGCATCTCAAATTTGTCACTCAGATTTGGATGGCATTATCCTACGCTGATTTCCACTTCGTCAGCAACTTCTCGAACAGTTAGACGGCGATGTTAGGGATCGCTGGACATGGACATCGTCTGTTGGTGTGGAAGGTTGTTCAGGCCGAAATTCTGCCGTGTTCAAAACACTGAAAGCACTTAAAACACTGCGTGCGACTCATACGGTCCTCCCCGTATGATTAGCTAAACAACTGAAATGTGTAAAAACTTTGCCAAATTTGTAGCAAAATTCCACACACCCAAGTGATTCTTCAAGCTCACCCATAATCACTTTGGCACTAATTTGACAAACAGTTTGTGCATATACTCACTTCAGCGGCTGCAGCCCGCCAACTGATGGTCAGAGCGAAATGCGGCAAATGGCAGTGTGTTGTCTAAGCAACCCTCCACATGCACTCAGCAGCTGCAGCACGCTCCCTTTGCAGGTTGACACGCTACTTCAAAAGTTCGGTTTGTTTTGAACACACCTTGTACATGTCGAAATATTAGGCATTTTGTTATTTAGATATAAAATGAGAGAACCTAGCGAAACAGCAAGGCTTCACTCACTCAAGTGGACGGAAGATATGTGAGAGTTGAGATAAGCTTTCTGGAAAAAGGATTTGTCGCAATACTCACAAAAGTGGGTTCGTCGTACTGGAATAAAAAGCAAGACAATATCAGACATGCGGAACATGAACGAAAAGCAATAGTCAAGCGTCAATGACAACGGATCAGCGAAAATATTCACACAATTAAGTTGTTGACAAACCCAACATAACGCACAGATAGTAAGTTGAACGCTGATGCTGGAAAAAAGCGCGACGTCGGATAAGACTGCCAAACAGTAAGGTGGCCAGTCCCGTGACCTGCACGTAGGAAGAAGGCACATGCAAGCTTGACGGAGTCCCTCAGTTAATATTTCTTGCCGACTGGCTACATCATCTTTTCGTCCAACCGCAGTATGGAAGGCGGTCAAAGGGTATACAGCGGACACGATGTAACTGACTCGAAAAGGTACAAGCTTAACAAACAACCGACTGCGGCACCAGAGGATACCTACCCAAACACAAACATGTGGACTTCAGTACTGCTAGGCTGGTACTTCCGTCAGACATAAGCAATACTCCGCAAGCACCGGTGACTATTGTGTTAATATTTCCAGTGCGAAGGAAACATCCACCCGATCCACCCTACGCAAACATTACCCCTGATAAACAGGATGATATCCTGGTGTTCCCGCAGGTGATCTAGACTTTGGAAAAGCACAATCTCTTCAAATGGCGCGCGAAGCAATTGCATATCGGTAAAGTGCAGAAACACCATCCTCACCTTAAGTGATAAAACTACCACCGCATCGTGGGATTGCGAGAAACAAAAAATCTGCAAATTGAGTAAAAGGACTAAGAAATGAACCAATGGACCAATGATACCGTCAGTGCATCCCACAGTGTGCGGAACACCGGCTGTTACTTAGCAGCATCGCTTTCATACACAGTGGATGCCGAGGTGAGAACTAAAATTTTCAAATATATATATATATATATATATATATATATATATATATATATATATATATGGTTGGCGGCATCCGGTTTCGGATTTGCCTGTCATTGTGGCAAGCCACAGGACGCCTGCGCCTACAGAGGGACCATGGATGGATTGCGCTGCACCACCCACAGCTCCAACCACACACCCCATATCCAGTGTAAACACGAAGGAATAAGACCGGGAGGCATGCGGATGGGAACCACGTTTCATCAACGGAGCTGGCCCACACTCCTTCACAGGCAAACACAAGCACGCTGTATTTGGGGAATCAAGCGCACACAAGGCGGTGGCTGGACCGTAGTCCGCTTCACACTGACTGCATGGAACCACTCTTTGATCCCACCACGGCCACAAGGACCGTGCACCCCGTCCCCTCCATCAACGATCAACTGTCTCCTGGAGCCAGTATGGACGAGGTAGTGGGTAATAGACAGGTAGGCACCTTGTCAACATGCACATCAAGCGCAGCCACACCGGGGATTTCAAACAACAGCCAATCACTTGAGAGAGAGAAAGAAAAAAAAGAAAAACTCGATTAATGCATAAGGAAACGGTGATATAAACCTTAATTAAATAGCATATGTAGTAATTTGTTTACAAACAATTCCTAGCTAAGTGCACGAGGTCAGGAAGTATAGTTCACGGAATGACACGAACACAAATATGCTACGGAAATCGAATACAAGTGGCTTAGGCGGTGAGCAAGTTAATGGAATAGAGTACAGGGAGATATTTATATGAGAAAGAAGAGCATTGGGACAAAATTGAAAACCCACCACCTGAAATAAAAGACTTAGCATGCAAGCACGCGGTTAGTAAATCGAATTCAGCGTGCCTACAAACGCTGCGCCGGCTCGCCGTAATTCTCTGCAGGACCCGTCGGCGCTTCGGCAGTGGTCCCGAGTGAAATCTCTCATGGCTCACTAGGCCTGCCTGACTAAGGCACTCGCGACCGCATGTTCTACAGCACCATGCGCTCGATGTCGATGGAGTACAATTCATTGGTGCTTGCCGCTTCTTCTCTGCATGCATGAGGGCTTTCTCCCGCACTTCAGCAACTGCCTTCGTGATTAGATCGCGCCATGCACCACGATCAACCGCCTTCGATTCCCATGATCTGCAATCAAGATTAGAACGTGTGAGGCTCACTTTAATCAAGTCCTGGTAACGTAACTTTGGTTTCCCCACGTGCCGCTTCCCTATACTCAGCTGACCGTATAAAAGTTGTTTCGGTATTCGCGTCGAATACATACGGCTCACATGACCGAGCCACCTCAGGTGTCGCAGTAAAAGTATGCCGTCCACTGCATACATCCCACTTCGGCGCAACACTTCCGTGTCTGCAACTCTGGCGCCCCAGCCGATCCGCAAAATTCGTCGCAGACACTGCTGATGGAACCGCTCGAGATATCGCACATCCCGCAGGTACATCGTCCACGTTTCACTGCCGTATAGAAGAACGGACAGTACCATGGATTTGTACGCCATCAGCTTCGTGCCAATGCTAAGCTGATGGTTGTTCCACACTCGGTACTCAAGCTTCCCGAATGCCGCTGCCGCCTTCGACACGCGATTACGCAACTCAACGTGTAGCTGCTGATCAGTCGACATCACACTCCCAAGGTAGCAGAAGCGGGAGGTGGTTTCCAATAATTCAGCACCAATGCTGATTTGCGGCAATATTGAAGATTGCACCTCCGGTGAAGGCTGAAAGAGACAGACAGTTTTGCTTGTGTTGATGGTGAGCCCGAATTTGGCCGCTGTCGAAGCCAGAGCACTAGTCATGTGCTGCAACTCATCCGCGCTGTGCGAAAACAACGCACAGTCGTCAGCAAACAGCAACATACGGATAGTTGTCCCACAGACTAGAGTTCTCGCACCGAAACGACGGATGTTCAGCAACCCACCATCAATACGGTGCTCCACACGAACACCGTAAGCACAAGCCGCATCAAAAGCACAAGACAACATTGCATGAAGATAGATATTAAACAGGGCAGGAGCTAACACACAGTCTTGCTTCACACCAGAGACAACTGCAAAGTCATCCGAGGTCTCTCCACTCAGCTGCACCCACCCCGCATACCACTGTGCAGACATTCAACTAAACTTACAAACTTACGCGGGCAACCAAACTTACCCAACACCAGCCACAGTGCCTCGCGGTTCACCGTATCAAATGACTTGGTGAAATCAACAAAAAGCGAGTACAACGGCTGGTGTCGTTCTCTGCACTTTTCCTGCAACTGACGACCCGCAAACACCATATCTATAGTGCTGCGACCCGAACGGAATCCACACTGCTCTTCCGCCACGTTAGGTTCCACAACCAGTGACGAGGCGGTTGAGCAGGATTCGGGCAATCACCTTGCCCACACAACTCAGCAAGTTGATGCCACGATAATTCGTGCAACATTGCTTGCTCCCTTTGCCCTTGTACAGTGGTAGCACAAGGGCATCCTTCAGCTCAGCAGGCACCTCCTCCTCAATCCACACTCGTTGTACCAAGTGGTGCAGCGCAGTCAACAACTCGGGTCCACCGTGTTTCAATACTTCAGGTGGGATCCCGTCACCTCCGGCACATTTGCCGTTTCGCAGCTGAGCAAGTGCTCTCTGCGTCTAATCCCGTATCGGCGTATCCGCCAGATCCGCCTTCACATCGTGCTGCTTCAGGCCGTTCAATGTAGGCCAGTCAATCTCTGAACGGTTGTTCAAGAGACATTCAAAGTGTTTCCGCCAGACCTGCATTATGTCTGCAATCTCTGTGCAGGTAACGCCTGAACTACCATCGATCAGTGTCCTCAGCGGCTCCAATCTCGGTCCATACACCGCCTTCAAGGAGTCAAAGAATTCCTTGTGTTGACGTCCCTCGGCGTAGCATTCCATCTGCTTCGCCTTCTCCGTCCACCATGCATTTTTAATGCGACGGAGCTCTCGGGTCAGTCGCCGTCGAAGTTTGCGAAACTGACTACTCTTCCCCAAGTCACTGGGGTCTGCCACATGTGCAGCAAATGCTGCATTCTTCTCTGACATCAATGCGTCAATCGTCACATTGTTGTCATCAAACCAATCAGGCCGCTTACAGTTTGCGCGCCCGATGATCTTCTCCGCAGAAGCTGTCACCTGATCGCGAATGTGGTGCCACAGGTCGCCCACTGTGGCTATACAGTCCACATCACCACACAGGCGTGCAGCCATCGCCTTCTCCAGCTCAGTACGTTTCGCCACAGTACCGAGGGAGAGAATGTTAAACTTACGCCGATTCACGGCGGGAGTGCAATACATCGATTTACGAAAATATATGTACAGTTTGGTCCGAACCAATTTGTGATCAGTGCCACACTCAGCTCCACGCAGTACACGTGTCATGCGCACTTCACGCATATCACGCTGACGTACGATGACATAGTCGAGCAGGTGAGCGTGACCACTCCGTGGGTGCGTCCAAGTTGCTATATCACTCGCACTCAGTGCAAACCGAGTGTTCGTGATCGTCAGGCCGTGAGTGACACACAGTGAGAGCAGCCTGTCACCGTTCGCATTCGCTGAACCAATGCCATGTGAACCGATAACATCTGTCCACGCTGATGCATCACGCCCAACGCGCGCGTTGAAATCACCCAGCAGAAATAGTCGGTCGCTCCTCGGCACAGACCGTATCACGGAGGATAGCTCAGTGTAGAACTGATCACGCGTGTCATCAGGATAACACATGGTCGGACCGTACGTGCTTATAAAAGTAGCAAACTTACCTCTTCCGAGTCGTAGGCGAACAGTCATCAGTCGCGCGCTGATGCCCGTTGGTTCACCCACCAACTGGCCATTCAGGCGGTCGGATATTGCAAATCCGACCCCATGTTCACGTGGTGCTGAGGCGGCGTTCCCCACCCAGTAGAATGTGTAGCCAGCACCTGCTTCATGTAACTTACCTTGTTCAGCGAGCCGAGTTTCACTGAGCGCCGCAATATCGATGTGGTAGCGCGCCAGCTCCATTGCGACCAGTGCAGTGCGTCGCTCCGGGCGCTCGCCCGAGTTCCGGTCCAGTAGTGTGCGCACGTTCCAGCACCCGATGCTGAGTGTTTTGCGTGCAGGCATACGATTGCATTGGTGGGCAATCGCACGCGAGGTGGTCGTTGTGCTTCGGAGGTTTGCTTGAGGGACTCCACCCGGAGCCTTTGGCTCAATAGCCTGACCCACAAGGCAGTGGGTGGTTTGGAGGTTTGTTTGAGGGACTCCACCCAGAGCCTTTGGCTCAATAGCCTGACCCACAAGGCAGTGGGTGATTCGGAGGTTTGCTTGAGGGACTCCGCCCGGAGCCTTTGGCTCAATAGCCTGACCCACAAGGCAGTGGAGAGCAGATCCAGCTCGGGAATGTGATTGCAGAGACAGATGGGGATCTGCTTGACGGCCGTCACCCGCAGCCTTTGAGGTTCTGGAACAATTATCATATGTTTTGCGACCGTAGTAGAGTACGCACCTGCGACCACGGCCAGACGCAGGTGGGTTTTTGGCGCGTTTGCACCAATTTGACCAGGGGCTGCCTGGATAGAGGCGGGCAGTAGCAAACCATTGAACACCCGGAGGTGTCCTCCCACCGTCAGAGACAATGCGTGGCACTCGTGCTCTACGCCAATCGAGCATTGAGAATATAACCCGTAAACCTGTTGTCTCTCATGGCTAGGCTTTCCGGGAAGTAGGCCATCGACCACTTCTTAACCTCCGGAGAGGATGGACTAGGATACTGCCAGGGCGCCCAATCCTGACAGGAGAACGACTCGGGTCCTCAGCCAAAGCCTTCGATTAAATGAACACCCAAAAGGCAGCGGGTCTAGCACATGGTCAGTTAGCTGATTCATGCGGATTGGTGTCCTGGATCTTAGCAGGGAGAAGGGCGAAACCTAACTCCCACCCAGCGGTCGCCATGTGGAGGCGCCCAGGACATGAGACTATGGCGCAACAGTAGCAGCAGTGGGCAGACCATCTGTCAGGATCTAGCCACCACCAGCCTCAGCGCACCATAGGCTCTCCCGCCTATATATATGTATATATATATATATATATATATATATATATATATATATATATATATATATATATATATATATATATATATATATATATATATATATATATATATATATATAGTTTGCATAGTACTGCCACTGAACTGGTTCGACTTACTACCACTGTTCACAGTTACCGAACAAATACTCGAATGACTTGCTTATCTAAGTAGCTGTATAACATCGGGTTAAAGCATCAGATGGGACCCATTGTTCGAGTCAGTTTTACACTTTCGAAGGCAAACCGATCCCACCAATCGATCAGCCGACCAATCAAACATGTGTGCAACGCGTGCAGACGACCAAGTGGTGGCCGATATGAAGCACTGTCTCAGTGCCGGCTACGGAAATTGTGGTTATCCCTCACAATGTGCAAGTGACGAGAAACGTACAGTCAGCAATCCAAATTCATGCAACACAGCGGTCTCTACGCCGTGGTGTCCAGGACATGAATCCACCTCACAACAATGGGAGCAGCAAGTGGACGAAATGCCAGCATCGCGGCACACATATATAAACACAAGCACACACAGACACATAAAACGTTCCAGGTTACAAACTATGTACGACGGCTCATTCAGTCCACGGAAAGCTAGCTGGCATGAGAAATGGAATTTTTGCACAATAACGTAGCTTCAACGTAGAAACAATGTAGGTTGGATCGGATGAAATTTAATGAAACCCCATCGACATGATGGCACGACGCGGGTGGCACCTCCGGTTGCACACTCACCCAAATGAGCAAAATTGATATGACTTCGTAAATGTTTCTTCCTAAAATACGATTTACCACAGTGGTCACACGCATAGGGGCGTTTTCCTGGAACGGTAAACAAAAAGTAGAGAATGAAAAGATGAATCACGCGGGGAAAAACTGTGCAAAATCTGTTACAATGTAGTGCTTGTGTCGTGGTGCACAAAGGTAGTAAGGATAATGGTGAAGGAATCGCAATACGGATCTTCGACAGTTAATTTCCAGTTATCGCAGTGAGAAAAATAAATGAAAACCAATCTGTCGGCAATGATGACTTGACGCGGGTATTGCGAACGAGGTAAAGTGCCAACATCTTGCTTTGTCCCCATGAGGTCCTCAGTAAACAGAAAGTCTCATCGGTGAGTTCGCAGAGGAGAAACCCCATTGTTGACGTAATCAACAGCACAGCTTGCTGGAGCTGTGCTCAATTAGCTACTTTTTCGTCTTTCAAATCACTCCAATGACCAAGTCTGTATATCATTCACTTCCGATTCACACAGCCCTGCTAACTAGACACTTTGGCTGGTTAACCGAACAACTTCCCCAGCTGGGTGGTTCGGGTCTACCAAGCACCAGCAAAATGACCGGCGGAAGTGTTCCAGGATGTGGTGGGTTTTCGTCTGCCAAGCGTTCTCCCTATAAAAAGCCATAAATGTCTGCTTAACAACCCTGTAACATGGCGCTTGTGACTCAGCACAAACAAGTCACTGTCTCTTGCTTATCCATACAACCGCTTCAAGTCCACAGATAGCTAGCGTCCCTTTAACACTGGCAGCACGTTCACTCACGATCAAGTGCAGGAAAGCATCTACAAATCCCATAAACACAGCTACACACGCTTACATGCATACATAAACATCTGTGACAATCCTATTGTTCCATTGTACATTAACTGATCGTTTTTTGTACCATTACCATGATCATGCCTGTGCAGGCGTGCATCGCGTAGTCGAGAATAAACATTTAATTTAATTAATAACTAGCTAAGAGATGGGTACACGCCTAAAAACATCTGTCCATGTGACACACGCATGCCGCAATCATTGCAATGTTTTTGGGTGGCCAAATGTTTTCTTGAACTACTCAGCAGTTTTTCACGTGAAGAAGAACCGGTGTCCTTGTGATGAACAGTCGATCTGCTAGGTTGAGAATGACATTCGCAAAGAGAAGTAGTGATCCCCCCATGTGGGTATACCTTTTGGTAAGAGCTTCGGTTGTCCCTAGGCAGCGAAGAATCTCGTTTCATTAGTTTTCATTAGGCTAATGCATACAAAACACTGGTTGAAGCATGTCAACGGGCTTACAAAACAAGACTAGAGTTTATTGACTCCCAACGAGCTGCATTGTTCGTCAGCCCAAATGCAATCGATGGTGACAGTCGCGCGCAGACGCACAACCACACCAGTACTTAATACACAGCGGTTGGTCCGGACGAAGGGGTGACTGGGTCTACTGTCACCGCCTGTGATCGAGGTGCACGACGCCCACGCCCAACCTAGGGACAGTAGAATGGAGGACTGCGCCATCGCCCACAGCGTACATAAATCGGACCGAGTGAGCCTGATCGCAATTGTGTCAAGAGTCATTGGAATGCGTCTCCGGATTCCCTTCGTGCAGCGTTCAGGCGCGACCCAGAAAACTTTGAAAGTATCTGCGGTCACGACTTGGGTTGGTGTTCCAAGATGAAGGTATCAGTGTTGGGAGGAGCAACGCTGAACCACCTCCACTTCGTAACGTGTTCATAATTGTGACAATGCCTGCCACAATGCGAAGGAACGAAATGTTCTGCCATGCGTTTCGTCAATCGTCCAGTTGTGTGTTCGAGATAGCTTGCACCACCACACTTACAAGCGAGTTGATACACAAATCGGGATGGACCGAGAGTTAAAACTTTATAGCTGAGTGTGTCTGGATAAATGCGAGAATAGACTATTTATTACTTAATTTGAACGAGAAAATTTCGATAACAACATGCTAGCAGGAAGCTGAGGATGACTGAGCAACTCAAAGAGGATTGAAAAATGTTCTTTCTCGGCACTGTTACGATAGATTCACGTCGGCCAACGTGGACAGTGTAACGCGACTCGCCATGTCGTTTTAACCTCCGCGGATCTGGCTCGTATCGTGTCGTCCCGACAATGCACAATTAAATGCGTTATCATGGGTAAAAAGCAGGTGCTTGACGAGTCCCGTAAGATGGGTGGAGTGAAAAAGATAGATCAAAGGATATTTGAATCGTCAGTTTAAACGTGTACTGAGTTAAATGCACAGCTGCATAAAGATAATTTGAAATAAAAATGAATACGCGCAACCAAATGGAGTGGGGGTTATAATTTACGTAATCCGTGGGAAAAAATAAATATTGGAAATGACACACTCACTCGTGTGCAGCTTCTTTGGTTCGAGGGGATATGTAAATCCAGTTTCCACAGTGGCAACGTTTTATAAATGATGAGTAGGAAGTAAAAATGAGCACGTTTGTTTTAGTGTAAGGATAGGTGCCCAAATATAGAGGATTATATGGCAGTGCATGAGTGCATCGTCGAGAATCTTTTGAATAACGTTAGTGTGGGGGAAAAAACAACGTAAATGGAGAGGGCGTTCCATGGTTGGCACATCATTATCATCATCAGTATACACGTTACCTGTAGGTGCAAAACACCTCAGCTATTGTGCCGCAATCCAAAAGACAAGAAGAAAAATAACCACAGTGGCACGCCGGCTGAGTCCCCAGTAACGGATGGACATCATTCCGGAGAACTAACAGCCGGCTATCATGCCGCAAAAAGAGTTATATTATGCCTAACGAGTGAGATCGTGATTGGAAGGGGATGCTAAGCAGGAGGAGGTGGACAAAGGAACTCACAACACAAACACCATTGGGGCCGGCTCCAAGCCATAACAGCAAGTTTGCCCAAGCAAACGTGCTCATCGTCCTTAGGACCCCAGCCAGACAATCGGAATGCCCCAACCGACGCCAACTTCGAAGTGAGGGTTTTCATTTCTCTCGACCAAGTCATCACTTGGCCTCCCCTCTTCTTCTTTCAACCGCACCCCCGGCGCGCAAACAACGCAGGTTGCGAGAATCGGTGTGATGGCATGCGCAAAACGTAGCCCAGCCATCGGAGCCTGTTGCGTGATATAATGGTTCTGAGTGGTTCACTCGCTCATCTTGCACGAAATCATCACCATCATCATACACGTCAGCTAGAGGTGGGAAACACCTCAGCTACTCTGTCTCAACACATAGAGAAAAGGAGAAAAAATGCAACTGGTACAAGCTGGCTGAGCTACCGGTAACGGATGGGCATTGTTCCAGTAAGCCACCAGCCGGCTGCTGTGCGTCAAGAAAAAATTACTACGCAAAATTATATAAGGCTAAATAATGAGATCGTGGTTGGAGGGGGAGGCTAAGAGGGATGGGGTGGGACAAAGAAACGCACAGCATGAGCGCCACTGAGGTCGGCTCCTTGCCATATCAGCAAGTGTGTCCAACCAAACGTGTTCGTCTTTCGGACCCAACCAGGAAGCAGAGACGCTCCAACCGAGGCCAGCTTCGAAGTGAGGGCCTTCATTCCTCTCGACCAAGTCTGCGCTTTGCCACCTCTCCTCTTTTTCCATCCACACCCCGGCGCGCAAACAATGCACGTCGCGGGAGTCGGTGGGCTGGCATGTGTAACACGTGGCCGAGCCATCGGAGCATGATGCGTGAAATAACGGTGCTGAGCAGTTCAGTTCCTTTTCCTGTGCCATAAACAAGGCGCCGAACACGCTCATTGCTCACGCGGTGTTCCCACCAGATGTGAGCTAAATTACGAAGGCACCGGTGGTTCTTGCACCAAATACGCGACGCCGAACCCGCTCATCGCTCACGCGGTCCTCCCACCAGACATGAGCTAAGCTGCGAAGGCAGCAATGATCGCACGTGGCTAGTCTCTTTATGTTTGTCCACCTGATGGGCTGTTTCACAACCAAATAAGAGGGTAGAACGGACGGCAGCATGATAAACTCTGCAGTTCAGGGCGAGAGTGATGTTGCGTCTGCGCCACAAGTGGCGGAGATTGGCAGAAGCACCTCGAGCATACGTTATACGGTTCGTACTCTCAGCTTCGATTCCACGGGCGCTAAGATAGCAGTCCAGGTACTTGAATTCCTGAAGGACTTCTAGCTGACCACCACAAAGCGTTAGCGAAGGGGTTGGCCCCTGCCAATCTTGGAGAAGTACTTTGCAATTCGATGAAGCAAAGCATAGCTCAAAACGATTGACAGCCAGTGCCAATCGATCCAGTGCAGGTTGGCACGTTTGGGTGCTTTCACATATGAGGGCAATGTCGTCCGCATACTCCAAGCCAAGAAGTCGTTCACCAAGAAGTAGCTCTACACTTTCTAGGTCGTGTCCAGCGAACGCTGTTTCCATGACTTCGTCAACTGAGAACTTAAACAGGAAAGGTGACAGCTGGCAACCTTGTCTCACACGGCTGGAGATATTGAAGAGCGGCGAGAGTCTGCCATAAACCCTCACTCTACCCGAAATAGGTGCGTACAGCGCTTTGATAATGTTTACGTAATTATCAGGCACACCTTTTCTCAGCAGACAGTCCCAAAGGACACAATGATCCACCGGATCGAACGCACCTTTGATGTCGAGAAACACGACAACAGTGGGTCGCCAATAAACATGACAGTGCGCCAACAATTGACGCAAAGTGAAGATGTAGTCGATGCAGCGTCGATTTCGACGAAACCCGGCTTGCTCTTCGTGGATCGCGCCTTCACGAGCGCCGGCCAATCTGCGGGGAACGACAGAGGCAATTGAGATCAGACTGAACCCTTTATGGTTGCCGCATTCCGAACAGGAGCCTCCCTTGAAAATTAGGACTGTGACGAAGAGGCTCCCGTGTGTCGGGACAGATTCCTGCTCCTAAAGTTCCAGTAGCAACTCATATAAATCAACCACAAGAGTAGGTCCCCCGAACTTGTAGAACTGGCGGAATTATATCTGCACCAGAAGTCTTATGCAATTTCGACGGTCTGATCTCATGTTCGACTTATGCGCGTGAGGGTGG